TTACATAACGTGGTCCTATTATGAAGTCAATGAAGAAAGTAGAGGAAGTCCTTTCTGTTTCCCAAAAGGATATTGTGAACCAAAGGGGGAGGTGACGGCCTAGTGGTACTAACTCTGGGCTATTAATCTGGAAAGTCACCAAACGGTTTCAGAATCCGGTTCCAATCCCATGAAAGCAGACAGTGGAATTTTAATTCAAGGATTTAAAAATATGGAAGTAGGAATCTACTGATTAACGTGACACTATTGTCAATTGTCAGAAAACCCCATCTGGGTTTTAAGTCTAGAATATAAAACTGTTCTCGGTGACCATGACAATTATCAGCAATTATCCTAAAGTCTCACCTGGCTCACTAATATCCTTCAAGGAGGGGAATCTGCCATCCTCACCTGGTCTGGCCTACATGCTGACTCTGAACTGCCCTCTGAGATGGCCCAGCAATCCACTTAGTTCAAGGTCAGCTAGGGATGGACAATAAAACCTGGCCAGCCAGCGATGCCATGCCAATGTTTATAATGGTATATTTATATCAGCTTTGTTGATACTCCATATCAAACACCGTAACTAAGTCCTTTGATAAGAAATTGTTTTGGTCTTGTCAGAGTAACACCATCCAATACATAATGTAAGATACTAGTGTGTGTAAATACAAGTAAGGTTCAGGGTAGTAAGTATTCTCCACGATGGTAGGAGCCTAAACATCATGCAAATTTAAAGATTTTTTTAAATTAACAACATGACCTCTCCACTCTTAAATCACCATGCACTGTGTAAGAACATAATACGATAGTAGCAGGTGAAGAACATCCAGCCTCTTGAGAGATAGTAGGAACTGCAGGTGCTGGAGTCTGAGGTAACACAGCGTGCAGCTGGAGGAACACAGCAGGCCAGGCAGCATCAGAAGAGCAAGAAAGCTGACGTTTTGGGTCGGGACCCTTCTTCAGAAATGGCTGATTTCTGAAGAAGGGTCCCGACCCGAAACATCAGCTTTCCTGCCCCTCTGATACTGCCTGGCCTGCTGTGTTCCTCCAGCTCCACACTGTGTTATCCAGTCTGTTGAGCCTGCTGTGCCATTCAATATGCTCCAGGTAGATCTTCTGCCTCAACTCCACTTTCCTGTCCATTCCCCACATCCTTAAATCCGTCAGAGATCCAAAACTATATTCATCCCAGCTGAGACTTTACTCAAGAATGAGGCATCTATAATTCTCTAGGTAGAGATTTCCAAAGACTCATAATGATCTGATTGAAAAAATTCTTCCTCATCTCAATCCTAAATGACCAATCTTTTGTCCTGAGGTGGTCCCTCTATGTTCTAAATGCCTCAGGCAGAGGCAAAATCCTCTCAATGTATTACCTGTAAAGGCCCTAAGAAACTTATGTATTTCACTGAGGTCAACTCTTCCTCTTCTAAACTCCAGAGAATATTGAGCCAACTTACTGCCAGGCTGTCCTCAGAACACAACCCTCACATCCCAGAAACCAATCCAGTGAACCTGTGTTTTACCGCCTGCTGACTAAATATATTGAGACCAAAACTAGTATAATGTGATGAAAACGAAAAAAATCTGGAAATCACAGCGGGTCAGGCAGCATCCGTGGAGAGAGAGAGCAAGCTAACGTTTCGAATCTAGATTCTCTGATGAAGAGTCATCCAGACTTGAAATGTTAGCTTGCTCTCTCTCCACGGATACTGCCTGACCTGCTGTGCTTTCCAGATTATTTTTTGTTTTCAGTACAGATTCCGGGATCTGCAGTAATGTGCTCCGAGTATAATATGATATTAGAAATTCTTTGTGGCGCAAGAACAAGTAAGGGATTATTAGTTTACAGTTCAGAAGAGGATTTCAATAATTAACATTAGTGATGATTTGAAAATGCATGCAAACTTCAAGAATAATAAACCACTTCAGCATATAGGCTATAATGAGCTCTCCCCAAAAGTGCAGGTGAGTAAAAGACAATTAGCATTTTCTGTGATGTACATGCAAATAAGAAGTCTAAACTTAAATTACCATTCTGATAACAAACAAAAAAGTCCACAATGGGAAGTTTTTCAGGTCATAGCCAAATACTAGACGAGAAACTGTGCTAAGTCCCTCTCCTAATTATGTTTTCAAGAAGCTCTCATACCCAAAGGCTAAGGATCCCTTATGTTATTTCATTAACACACACAGTACTTAAGGACTAGATATAATGTGTAACTCTCTGGAGAGTTTCACACTCCAGAGGTAATTAGGATTGAAATGACAACATACTGCATAGCTTTTCCTGAGCATTAACAAATATGATTGTACAGCCAATTCTTTTAAAGTGCATCCTGCTTGTTCAAAACAGTATTTATTTAACAAGAATATAACTTAATGAGTAATTTGACTTAAATCTAAGATTAAAGCTCCCACTATGTACACATTTTATTATGGTATTTAATTTCCACATTATTATATTTTATTGGAGACTTTTAATAACAAATCAGCAATGTTTCAGCATTACTTGGGGTCTTTGGAGCAGTAATTTTCAGACTGTGCGAGTTTGTTTTGAAGACCTCGAGGTACAAAACAAAAACAATATTTCAATAGGATTCTCGATAAAATAAATCTACTTTATTTTCTGATAGTTTCGAAACCCCGTGGCAAAGATGAAACTATGCATTGGAGCAGAGTTTGTAAATGAGGTGTGTGTGATGCAGCTTCAACTCAATAGATTTTAATAAAACAAATGAGCATCATTCGTTATTTAACAGCAGCGAATAAAGCTCACCGCTACTTTACACCTATCATGAGACATTGTTCATGAGGTGATTGATCTTGTAGTAAAATTTGAAATGCTGCTAATGATTTTGCTGTAACCTTTTGTGTGGTACATTGCAAATGTTTTCAAAGCACATGAATAATTCTGAAACAGAGCCATCTTTCGGAATAAAATGGATGGATGGCTGATGATTATGTATTTAACGATGGGGTGTACTTTCATATCAAAACATATATTGTATAGGATGAATTAGGAGAATGTTCAATTGTTCATATATTTTATGTCATCAATTTTTTAAGTGTGTCTTCACACACACACTTCTTTCTCCTCTTGGGGAAGTTGTTGGAACAATCCTGAGGTTGATTGCTTTGCATTATGAACAGTTCTTCTGTGGGCAGCAGGACCTGGCTTAAGGCGTGGACCAAGAGCTGATCCAGAGGTAGGGGCACTACCACTGCGTCTCAAGACAACTCAAGTCACTGATCAGTCACTACAAAGCCACATTAACAATGTGTAGGGAAATCGAAAACCTGATTGATTGCTTTCAGGTACGAAATACAACAGGCCACAAGGAGACCATTCAGTCCACATTGCCTGGTCTGGTCCTTTGAGAATTCACTTCACGCCTTGTATCCACAGCCCTGCAAATTTCTTCCCTTAGTGAAATTCCCTTTCAAAAGATATTATTGAATCTGCCTCACCTTCATTTCACACAATGTTACAAGAATTCACTGCGTAAAAGCAAAATCTGTTCATGTCACTCCTCATCCCTTGGACAACGACATTAAGTAATTAAAAAGAACAGAAAACTGGGTGACATTGACAGAGCTTCTTCATAGATAGAGTTCAATATTTACATTATCATTGATGCCAAGAGGTTATTTCTCATCACTTACCACTGAAATCACCAAATTCAACTTTGACCATGTGAGCTGGAAGCATAATCAACAGACATCTGTTCATATCAGTATGAAAGGTATTTCAATTTCATAATCACTTTGCACATTTTAAACAAAGTATGTTATTTTAGTGAAAGGATACAGCAAAATCATTACAAAATTAATGCTACTCTTTAAACTTTATAAATGAATAATGATTGTCCCAAATATGTTAATTAATGAATCCGGCCACGAGGCTGTATTCCTGCTGTTGTTACCTGACATCGTGTACCTCACTTGTTCACCTTGGCTCCATAGTAGCATCCTTGCCTCTGTTTTAGAATGATAAGGATTCAAGGCCCACTTTATAATCTAGGCTGACACTTCAGTGCAGTACTGAGAGAGAGCTGCACATTTGAAGTTGCCAGATTTTCAATAGGACATTAAACCAAGATTGTATTTTACTTCTCAGTTGGTCATGAAGCATTCTGCAATTTGAAAATTCTTCCCCGTGGAACCCTTACCAATATTAACCCCTCAACCAAAGTATGGATTAGTTATTAATCCCATTACATGCTTTGGAATCTTGTTGCGTACAAATTATCTGCTATCTTTTTACACTACAACAGTGGTTACACATTAGAACACCTTATGGCTGAGGTCACTAAACACAATCCATAAACTCTTTACTTAACTCCATGCCCTGCCATATTCCACAGCCTCGCCGATATCATTCTCTTTCCTCTCTCCTTCAAATGACATTGCTCCCTCCAACCGTACAGTGTCCCAGTGCAAACTTCACCGTCTTGCCCAGCTTTCTGCTTTCTCCAACCCCATTGTTGTTCCCTTCCCATCTTTACAATTTACCCATTTCACTTTGCTACCCCATCTCCACTTCTATTCCTGTGAGCCAATATTTTAATATTTCTGACTGCCACTCTCCCTAATGTTCCCTGCCTTTCTGCTTCCCAGCTGCTTGCCTCTTCCATTCCCTGTACTAGATATAAGATTAGAAAAGTCTTACACACGTGTGTCCCTTCTAAAAGTACACATCCCCAGTAACAAGAAGCCAAGGCACAAATAAATATACCGACTGAGAAATAGAGCAGAGAGACAGATAGCTCTGAGAGACAAAGGCATAGATTCATCGAAACATCAGGTCAAAAGCAGCTCACCACAAAAAAAAGGATGAATGGATAAAGAAAAAGAAATAATTGAAAGAGACAGATCAATTCTAAAAAAGGGACTTCACTCACAGAGAGAGTCATGCATCAGATAGACTAAATGGAAACACATCGATACAGAGAGCCACTTTGGCAACATACACATTCCAAACCAGTTCATATCTGAATACAATAACCAGCTGGACATTTGCTTATCTTTGTAATTTTATTTCAGCATTTTCACACACTTCCTGCATGTCCCTTCATCATTTTCCTGTTAAGCCTATTTCCATTGCTGCTTCAACGTTATGCCCAAAACTTTCCACCAGTACCTGTCACACAGATTCTAGCTTTCGATTCAGTCTTCCCAATCTTGGCTTCCAGGGGAGATGGCAACATGGTTATACCTTCAGTCCACTCAATCCTTTGTTTCCTGTTTCTTCACTAGCATCCCTGCCCAGAGGCAAAATACTGCGGATCCTGCAAATCTGAAGTGAAAACAGAGAGCGCCGGAAAACTCAACAGGTCTAGCAGCATCTGTGGAGAGAGAGAAACAGAGTTTTGAGTCCAATATGACTCTTCTTCAGAATCTTCTAAACCCTTATTGGGTTGAAACATTAACTCTACTGCAATTTCTGTTTCTATCCCTAGCAGAGAGCCTCTGCAACTTGCATCTTGACATGGTCCTGCTGCCCAGAGACATTAGGAAATGCCATTGGAGTCTGTATCTCCACATGAAGTGAAGTGGCATATTCGAGTTGTTACAACAAATCTACTTTAAGTTAGTGATAGTAAGAGCTGCCGATGCTGGGGTCAGAGATAAGTTAGTTTTGAGACTTTGGGTGGAATTTGAAAGGGGTCTGACTGATGTAGTCTATGGCAAGAAGTGTTACATAACCTGGTGATAAGTGCAGCAAGGCCCATTGCAATGTTGGGAGAAAATAGCCACACCTAATCACAAGTGGCATGACCAGATTCTCGATAGGCAGCAGCATTATTGCTTGTTAAAAACCTATTAACAGTCCGACTCACCTAACTATTATTTAGCCTCCCAATTTAAATGCACAAAACAAATGCAGCATTGGGAAAACGTAACAAGGAAACCAGGCACGGGTAGCTGGTGAATTCAGCTCGCCACACACTTGAAATAGCTTCCATGTTGGAAATTGGTCACCAACATCTCAGGGCATTCACCTTTGGGATTGGCCACATGCACTCCACCTCTATGGAGATTGGCATTCTACATGTGCCAGTCTCTAACAGCTCTCATGGAACATCTCTGGTCCATTTACAGGACACTTCTGCACTTCAATGCTGCACCTCTGGCTGTACCAGTAACTCTCATTGTAATAAAAACTGAAAGAACTGCGGATGCTGTAAATCAGGAACAAAAACAAAGTTGCTGGAAAAACTCAGCAGGTCTTGCAGCATCTGTGAAGGAAA